GGACCTCTGGAAGAGCAGTCAGTGCTCTTAACCTCTGAGCCGTCTCTCCAGCCCTAACCTGGAATTTTCTATGTAGACCAGGCTGGCATCACACATGCAGAGATTCTCCTGTCTCTGTCTCCCAAGTCCTGGTATTACAGCCATGTGCCCAATTTGTGTGGTGCAGTGGATGGAATTTATGGCTTTGTGCATACTGAGGAAACATTCTATCAACCAAGGTACATTCCCAGCCCAGATAGCAACATTAACTTATTTGTTTGTGTGTGTATGTATATGTTATGTACATATGTGTGGGCACATGTTCTTATGCAGGTGCTTTTAGAGGCCTGGAGTTAATGTTAAATAACCTCCTTGATTATTTTCCACTTACTGAGGCAAACTCTTGCTGAACCCAGAGCTCACAGCTGATCTAACTGGTCAGCTTGCCTCCAGGGAATAAATACCTTGTCTCACTACCAACTGCTGGATACAGGCACCCCACTATACCAATTTTTGGGGTTCTGAGGATCTCAACTCTGCTCCTCACACTTGAGTGGCAAGTACTTTATCAACCTAAGCATCTGCCCAGCCCTAAATAGTGATTTTATCTTTTCTCTTTTTTTTTTAATTGAGATGAAAAATCTTACTTTTCAAAATTTTATATATAAGGATGTTTTGCCGGCATGTATGTCTGGTGCCCATAGGAGCCATAACTAGGCATTTGATTACCTGGAATTGGACTTACAGATGATTGTAAGCCACCACATGAGTGCTGGGAACAGAACCTTGATCCTCTGGAAGCCAGTGCTCTTAAGTGCTGAGCCCTCCCTCCAGCTCTTATGTTAGTGTTTTAAGATTTACTTTTATTTTTATTAAGTGTACAGGTACCTGAGGAGGCCAGAGGTGCTGTAAGGTGTCTGATGTGGGTGCTGGGAATTGAACTTCCTTTGCAAGAGTAGTATATGCTCATTTCTCCAACCCTATAGTTTTGCTTTTTGGTGTGTGTTTGTTTGTTTGTTTGTTTTTGAGTCTCTATGTGTTTCTGACTTTCCTGCAGGTCACTAATATAAGCCAGGCTGGCTTCAAATTCAAAGATCATCTAGTCTCTGCTGCCCAAATCCTGGAACTAAAGGTATGAGCCACTACTGACTGGCGGATGCATGCTTTTTAAAAGAGTACTTTTAGTTCACACTTGCTCTTCTTGCAGAGTTTGAAACAGCCGAGACTCTCCTAAACTCCGAAGTTCACATGCTTCTGGAGCATCGAAAACAGCAGAATGAGAGTGCAGAGGATGAGCAGGAACTTTCAGAGGTTTTCATGAAAACCCTAAACTATACAGCCCGCTTCAGTCGTTTCAAAAACAGAGAGACCATTGCCAGTGTTCGTAGGTGAGTACTAAGAGTTAAAAGACAAAATTTACTTATATATGTTGTAAGGGTTTTTTTTTGCTCGGGGGAAGTTTTGTTTGAAACAAGGTTTTTTTGTGTAACAGCCCCGGCTGTTCCGGAACTCGATTTGTAGACCAGGCTGGCCTCAAACTCACAGAGATCAGCCTGCCTCTGCCACGCCCCCTCCCCAAGTAATGACATCAAAGGCGTTCGTGTACCACCACACCACACCCGACCTAGGGTTAAGAGTATTTTGCCTGCTTGTATGTCTGTGCACCATGCAATGCCCACAGAAACCAGAAGAGGGTATCAGATCCCCAGGACTGGAATTACAGGCAGTTGTGAACCACCATGTGGGTGCTGGGACTCAGAACCTAGGTCCTCTGGAAGAACAGCTAGTACTCTTAACTGCTGAGCCATCTCTCCAGCCCTACCTAAAGTTTTATTATTGTATATTCTCATGAGAGGTAGAGGCAATCAGGGAGTTCAAGGTCATCCTTAGGTTCATAGTGGGTTTAAAACCATCCTTGACTACATGAGACCCTGTCTTTTTTGTTTGTTTTTTAAAATAGGATTTCTTGCCTTGGCCATCCTAGAACTAACTCTTTAGAACAGGCCAGCCTCTATCTCAAAGAGATCTACCTGCCTCTATCTCCTGAGTGCTGGGATTAAAGGCATGCACCACCATCACCCAGCTTCAAATATAACTTCTTAATACTATATTTTGAAATGAAATTCATCGTGGTAAGCCTTATTTTATAGTGTAGACCATGAAAATACTGAAGATGCAGTTGACACACACAGTTGCACAAAGCAGAGTTTGGTGTATTTATTTTTAAAGTTAAAGGAGAGTTACTTCCATGTCAACATACTTAATAAATTGTTGTTTGACATTAACTTATCAAATATAGCAGGAAGATCAGAGAGCTAGAGAGTGACTTTCTGGAGGAAAACATCTGTCGCTTTGGGTTTTCATGAGGTGTGATTGGCAGATGCTTTTAACATTTATTAAATTTATTTTTATATGTGAGTGTTTTGCCTTTGCACCACATGAGTGCCAGGTAAACATGGGAGGCCAGAGACGGGTATCAGAGTCCACAGATCTGGAATTTCAGGCAGTTGTGAGCCACCATGTGGGTACTGGGAGCCAAACCTGGGCCCTGTGAAAGAGTAGCAGTGAATGCTCTTACCCACTGTGTGATTTCTCTAATACAGCAGATGCCTCTTTTACTCTGCTGTGCTCACTTGTTTCTTGTTTCCTTGACTCTACCTGCTGTGTTTTACTTGTTTCCTTTTTTCTGGAACTTTTGTTTCAGGGTTAAGACTAGGAAGTGATTCAAAAGGGGATTCTGTTGCCCACATGACCATAATCAAAGATTGTAAATATTTTTTCTCAACTGCATTTGGTCTTTTTGCTATTGATCATTGTTTGACATTTGACTTTTTTGCTTTTTATTAGCATATGTTAATTGTACATAATATATTTTGATCCAACTCATTTCTCCCCATTTCTGCTCTTGTTTCACTTCTCCTTTGTTTGTCTTTCTAAATTTTTATTTTCCCTGCAATCAGCTTGCTTCTCCAGAAAAAGCTACATAAGTTTGAGTTGGCCTGTTTAGCCAATCTTTGTCCAGAAACTGCTGAGGAGTCCAAAGCTCTGATTCCAAGGTCAGTACCCAATGGGACAAGTTTTGTCTGTGTTATATAGATTTCTTCAAGTCAGATTGCTAGATCTAAGTGTTTTATGCATTTGATATTTGGGTTGATGACATGCCAGCACTGAAGAAGAATGTAATTTTATGGTGTTTTTTATGTGCGTATGCACATGTATGCACATGTGTGTCACATTAAGCATGTGAAGGTCAGTGGACAACTTGTTAGATTTGGTGGTAAGCAACCTTTACCAGCTGAACCATCTTGCCAGCCTGAGAATGATGGTTTTATACCACACTGACAGAAAGGACATGGAACAGGGTGCTAGGGATATAGCTCAGTGGCAGAGCCCTTGTCTATTGTGTGTGAGGGTCTGAGTTTGCTCTCCCAGAACCTCACAAAGGAGCATAAGAAACAGCCAGAATTCTCATTCACTGCAGGTAATAGTAGAGCAGTTTTACTTTGTCTAGTAAAATCAATGTGACTATTTCCCATTACCCAAAAATGTATTCTAGTATTCACTAATGTGGTATTGATGATAACAGCTATTGGACACAGTCCTTAAGTCAGTCAACAGGTGAATGACTAGAAATGAATCATTACAGGGCCTGCTAGTTTGTGCTTTTATTCCAAGAAAATCAGGCCAATCTCTGTGTTCCAGGCCAGCTGCAATTGTATAATGAGACCCTGTCTCAAAAAATCAAGCTGAACCAAAATAAACTTTAAAACCTGTGTGACTGTTGAGGCTTTTAAAAAATAGTTTTTATATTTGCATTTTTTAGTGCTTCTATAAGGGAATATTGAAAAGAAATTCAGCTTAAACTTAAAAGTAGTAGAGCTAAGAGCACTGTACTCAGAAATGAACCCTCTTTGAAAAGCAGCATGGGAAAACTGGCAGTTGCTAATCACCTAAGTTTATTGGTCTTCTTGCAGCCTGGAAGGGCGTTTTGAAGATGAGGAACTGCAGCAGATTCTTGACGATATCCAGACCAAGCGCAGCTTCCAGTATTAATGTCCAGACATCTGGTCCTGAGACAGCGCAGAATGGCACCACACCCCTGCCTGATCACACAGGAGTGCTGTTGTGAAGACGCCTGGGCCACTTTTATAGTGTTTGCTTTATTGAGATATAATGTCACTCTCTAGTCCTCAGACTCATTACAGGCCTCCTGCCTCAGCCTCCCAAGTGCTGGGATTACAGGTGTGAGCCAACACTCATGGCTTGGCTTTTGAAGAGGAAAGGCTCGCTTGGTGGTGGTCTAGGTTGCTGTCTCCACAGTGACTATTAGACCACATAGTTATTGTGTCTTCTTGGTGCAGCCTTGTCAGGGCTGGTATGGTCAAACATGCTGCAGTCTGGAACTGGTGAGGTAGACTGATGTGTTGACTACCTCTTACCTTGTTTTTTTGGACCCTGTGTTATTCTTTGTTCTTGACATTTCAATTTTTAATATAAATATAGTTTGTGGTTTTTGAAACTAAATTGTTATATACAAAAACTGGTCTTACCTAGTTGCAAAAGGGAGAGATAAACCAGAACACTCACTGTTTTTTTGTTTTGTTTTAAGAATTTTATTAATTTATTTATGGGGAGCGGGGGTACATGATCAATGGCACATATGTGGAGGTCAGAGAACAACTTTCGGGAATGAGTTATGTTCACTGTTTGGTTTTTCAGGATTGAATTCAAGTCATCAGGCTTGGTGGCAAGTGCTGTTACTCACTGGGCCATCTTGCTGGTCCCTAAATTATTATTATTTTTTTATTTTATTTAGTCATCTTTGCAACTTTAGAGATCTAAAGCCTTCTACATGCTAGACAAGTGCTGTACCTTTGAGTAACATTTGATCACTGAAAATCCTTTTGTTTCTGTTTGTGTGTTGTATGCATGTTTATGCAAGTGTGTATGTCTATGTAAGGAGAATAGCAGAGAATATTGGGTATATACCTAATTCTTAGGGTTTCTGTTGCTGTGAAGAGGCACCATGGCCATGGCAGCTTAGAAGTTCAGTGCATTATCATCATGGCGGAGAGCATGGCGGTGTGCTGGCAAACATGGTGCTGGAGCTGAGAGTACCACATCTTGCAGGCAACAGGAAGAAAACTAACTGACACTGAGCAAAGCTTAAGCAAAAGACCTCAAGGCCTGCCCCAACATTGACATACTTCTTCACTCCATCAAAGTCATACATCCTAATAGTGCCATTCCTTATGAGATTATGGGTGCCAGTTGTATTCAAACTACAACACCTATATTTCTGTTCTTTGAGATGGGGTCTCTCTGACTGAACCTAGGACTAGGCTGGGTATCGAGAGCCTCAACAACCCTCAATTACCCTTAGGGTCCTTAGCTTTGTGGTATACGTATTTCATCTAGGGGGTAAGGGGCTTTCCTGAAGAATGCATATTTTGCGTGGCCTTGAAGAGTTTTTATTGTCACCCTCAAATGAAGATCTTTCCTTCATAGATTAGATTTGAAGACCAAACTCTGAAGTCTTCTCATGAGATGTCTAATCCAAACCTCTGGGTTGATTCAGCTTAGTGACCGGTATTCTGTCATAGAGGTGATGTGGAAGGAGTGATTGTGTTCCTTTTTCAGTGCTGGAAATCAGGACCACTATGCCTGCTATCATAGTGTGGGTTCCTATTGCTGTGAAGAGACACCATGACCACGGCATCTCTTAATTGAGGGTGGAGGCTTATAGTTTTCAGAGGTTCGGTCCATTATCATGGTGGCGAGCATGGCAGCATGCAAGCAGATATGGTGCTGGAGGAGTAGCTGAGAGTCCTGCATTTCTTTTTCATTTATTTGTTATGTAATACAATGTTCTGCCTGTATGTATGCCTGCAGTGCCAGAAGAAGGCACCATATCTCATCATAGATGGTTGGGAGCCACCATATGATTGCTGGGAATTGAACTCAGGACCTCTGAAAGAGCAACCACTGCTCTTAATCTCTGAGCCATCTCTCCATTCCCAAGAGTCCTACATCTTACAGGAAACAGGAAATAGACTAAGACACTGGGTGTTGTCCTGAGCATATGCACCCCCCATGATACACTTTCTCCAACAAAGCCATACCCATACCCACAAAGCCACATCTAATAGTGCCACTCCCTATGAGATTCTGGAGGAGGTCAGTTACATTCAAATGACCACACTTGGTGTCCTTATGTCTTAAATCCCAGCACTCTGAAAGAAGCAGAGGTAAGCAGATCTCTTGAGTTCGAAGTCAGCCTGATAATATATACATAGCAAGCTCCAGGATAGCCAAACCTACATAACGAGAACCTGTCTGAGGGGGAAAAGTGAGGGGAAAAATTCTTGTAATAAGAGAGCTCATGAGCCCTGTGAGCCTCCCTGTTTCTTTCATGAGGCTGTTAACAGGCCAGATCTCATGAAGACCTGTAAGTGATCACAGATAGCTATGATTCAAGATGGTGGTGCTTACAGCTGGCTTGAAGGAAACAGCTACATGACAGGAGAAAATGATGTAAACAAGCCAAGTGTTCTTCATTGGTGATGAGTTCAGATTGGTTAGTGACGAGGCCTGCTTACAAAAAGTGCAGAATGTAATGGACCCAAGGCTGGAGTGGCTACAGCAGAAGAGTCTAGGGTCAGCATGGAGCTATATAGAGAGAAGCCGGAAGATGCTGTGTGAGGGAGCAGCTGTGGAACAGAGTTGTACAGTGCTTGTCTGCTTAGAAAAGTGATGCAAAATATAGAGAAATTCACTTTCTGGAGTGTTGAGAAGAAATGGGTCCAATGGCCATATGGGAAGGTTGACCAGAACAGGAAAGAATGCAAGGGAGGTTGGAGGGTGTGTGCATGTAGAGTAGATAGATAGATTAAGCCCATTTTATACAAGTATTACAAGGTTTATTTACATATCCTAGACACCTACTTTACTATCCATCCAAAGGATACTTTGTATTCAGAAATCAAGTATTTTTGTCTTTTTACATGTTAAAATTTTTGTGGGTGGGTGGGTGTGAACATGTCTGGGTCAGAGGACAACTAGTGAAAGTAGTCTCTTTTTTCAACCACATGGGTCCTGGGTTATCAGCACCCATATCTGTTGAGCCATCTTTAACTTTGAGCATAGAACATACCTTTTTTTGTTATTTGTTAGAGACAAGGTACTAGGCTGGCCTGCAATTAATATCAATCTGCCTGCTTCCTGAGTGTTGGGATTATAAAATAATTTACTTGGCCAAACATAATGTATGGTGCTGTTACAGTAACAAGATCGTTACCAGAAAGAGATGTGACAGAAGAGAATATGAAATAGTCTTCTCCCCTTTTTTGAGACATGGTCTAGGGGGCCTCTAACTTCTAATCTTCCTCCTATAGACTGCTGAGATCACAGGTTCATGCCACTGTTCCTGGTTTCATGTAGTACTGGAGATTGAACCTGGGGTCTCTTGTTTGTTAGGTAAATGTTCTGCCAACTAAGCTACAGCTCAGCCGTGAAATAGTGACTATTTGTAAAGTTTATAATCTCAGTACTTGGGAGATAGGTTCAAAAGGATTAGGAGCTCAGGGATCCTCAGCTACATAGCAAATTAAAGGCAAGTCTGGGCTTTATGAGACCCTGTCTCAAAGAAAAAGTGACTCCCCCCCCCCTGCCCCAGGGATAAATGAAAGGGAAATGTGATCAGTTAGCCCGAAAAGCTATAGGGCTACTTACCTACCTGAACCTGCAAGTGTGAGATGCCCAATAAAGGAACAAAGGTAGCACTTGGTGGATTTTTGTGAGTTCCAGATGAGCCAGGGCTACAAAGTGAGACCCTGCCTTAAAAAGTAGCCCCACCTTCACCCCCTGTAAAAATAGTACAAAGGGGAGGTTGAAGATTTGGGTTTGAAATATGAGCCCTGCAAGGATCATATGTAAGGCTTGGTTCCCAACGTAGCAATACTCGAAGTTGGGGCTTTAGGAAAGGAACTACATCATGATGATTTGATATGCTGTCTAATGTGATGAGCACTTAATGAAAGGCAGGACCTATGTGAAGGGAATTGGTCACTGGAGGTATGCTTGGGAGTTATCCTTGGTTCCTTCCTCTTTCCTCATTCTCTTTGCTTCCTGGCCATCATGAATTGAGCATCTGTGTCTGGAACCTGCTTCTGTAATCATGATGTTCCGCCCCACCACAGTCATAACGCTGTAGAGCCACCCAACCATGGATTGTAATCTCTGGAACAGTATGTTAAATAAATCTTTATTTATTTTTCTTTTAGTCAGGGTCTCCTGTAGCCCAGATTGGCTTCAAACATACTATGTTCATAGCCAAGGTTGACTGAACTGACCCCGCCTCCCCCAGTCTCCACCTATTGAGTACCAGGATTACAGGCTTCTATCACCTCATCTTGTTTATATGTTACTGGGGCTCAAACCCAATTCAGGGCTTCTTGAATGCTAGATGTTCTAATTTGGTTTCCAGTGGCTTTGAAAAATACTAACCAATATAACTTGTAGGAAAGGGTTTATTTGGTTCATACATCCCAGTTCCCAGATTTATTACTCAAAGAAGTCAGGGCAGGAATCAGTAGGCAGGGACTGAAGCAGAGGCCATGGAGGAATACTGCTGCAGGCAGTAGTGGTACACTCCTTTAATCCCAGTATTCGGGAGGCAGAGATAGGCGGATTTCTATGAGTTTGAGGCCAGCCTGGTCTACACAGTTCCAGGATAGACTCCAAAGCTACACAGAGAAACCCTGTCTCAAAAAACAACAAACAAACAAAAAAGAATACTGCTTACTGGCTTGCTTTCTACTCAGTTTGCTTTTTAAAAAATATATCACTAAGGACTACGTGCCCAGGAGTGGCACTGCCCAGAGTGGACTGGGCCTTCCACATCAATCATCAGTCATGAAAATGCCCCATAGACTTGCCTATAGGCCAATCTGATGGAGGCGTTTCCCCCAGTTGTGGAGAATTTAAGATCCAGAGGCAGGCAGATTTCTGTGAGTTTGAGGACAGGGTGTTTGTTCTACATAGTTCCAGGATAGACTCTGTCTCAAAAAATAAAAAAAATACAAAAAATTCAAACCCAAACAAAACTAATAAACACCTTAAATTAATCTTTGTTTATCCCAACTATAATGTTAATATCAATATCACAATATAAATACATTTTAGTGCTGGGCGTGGTGACACTTCTTGCCTTTAATCTCAGCACTTGGGAGGCAGAGGCAGGCAGATCTCTGAGTTCAAGGCCTGCCTGGTCTATAAAGGGAACTCCAGGGCAGTTAGGGCTACAATGAGAACATGTCTCAACGCCACCCCCCCCAAAAAAAAAACCTAAACAAATACCCACAGAAACCAAATAATCAAATAAACTCCTTCAATTAGGGGTGTAGAGAGGACTTAGCCAATAGCACTTTTTGTTCTTGCAGAGGATAAGGGGAGTGAGGGTTGGAGAGACTGTACAATGGTTAAAAGCATTTGCAGTTCTTGCAGAGGACCTGGATCAAATTCCCGGCAACTACACTGAAGCTCATAGTGCCTGAAATTTCAATTTCAGGAAATCTAATGTCCCCTCCTGCC